TGCAGGGTAAGTGACGGTACCTAGGCTTGTTAAAACACCCGTGGGGTGTTTTCCAGCCGTCCCGGGGGGATTCAAAGCCCCTACGTTGGTCGCCACCTGAAGCGAACTTCCCTTAGCCCCCCGACGTAATCCACGCTAGCTCTGTCGAATGGAGGCATCAGGGAGATCCTTCGAGACCAAGAAAAGACCAAAAAGTGCTGCTTCTCCCTCCGGGGTATCAGAGGATGTTTATTCTGGCTAGCTTCCAGGGGAGAAGAGACCGGGTTTCTCCTTCCGGGACTCTTTCAAACCTCGGGAGAGGGGCGGGGGGACATACAACACCAACCAATGGGATAAAGTTTCAGGGACTGGGAGGGGAGGGGAAAAACACGTCACAGAGAAACAAAGTAACTCCCAGAAATATGCACCACCACAATCCTGCAACAGGGAAAAGGAGTGATTCAAATGCATGTTTGAAATGAACTTTATCTGCAGGGGAATGGACCTAGGCATCACCCATTTCATGGCACTGTAAAACAATTTGCTCCATCAGGGTTTTAATTTGGTTTTTGTTTTACTTTTTGTTTGGTCGGTTTTAGTCAAACAAATCTTAGCAATCCATGTTTTATGGGCACTGCTGGTGGGGGAGCAGCACGGAACATCAATTCTCAAGGCTTCCCTGGAGAGAAACAAGAAATAAAGAAACAGCCTTGGAAAAGTTATGGGCAGAGGTTCTAGTTTTATTCTGCTGGTTTGGCTCTGTTACCCAATCCCTGGCTCTAATAACCAGTTCTGTTATCAGCAACAGGGGAAATATAAACACCAACAGCCAAGCACGACCACCCCAAGGAACACTTACGCGTATTTCCTGCTGGATGCTGCTCTGAGAACATTTTGGCTGAGGCCATTCCAAAATGTCTGTAAAACAGAGACATTCTAATGAGAATTTAGTTTAAAACATCAAGATGTCTTCAAGGCTTTCAGAGGCAGACAATGGCTGAAGCAACGCTGTCCTACTAAGAGTACGCTCTTTATGCAAAAAAATTAAGAATTTGAACAAGACTCAGACTCACATAAATGGCCTCCCGAATTATTGCACTAATTAATCTCGCATAACGC